CCGCCTAAACCAGTAATTTCAAGATGGGGAACTTGGCTTGAAGCAACATTTTTTTATTATGAACACTTCAGTGGGATAGAGCTAGTGATGTCAGAACTTGAAAGTAGTACTTCCGAAGCAGTTAGAGAAGCCAACATGATTTTGAAAGATCCAAAACTAAACCAACAAATAGCTTATATAAATCAAAATTTTAAAGTAATTGTAAAAACTATTACTTTGCTGGAAAGACAAAACATATCTTTATCTGAATCAATTGAACTAACAAATAACTTAAAGGTAACAATTAATTCAGCACCCGGAAGCATTGGTCAGATTATTTCCAAAAAAATGAAAAATGTTTTTGATAAAAATAAAGGATGAATTCCAGGATGAATCCAGGAAAAATATATAGAATATTGAGTAATTGATTTGATATAAAATTGAGATAAAGTGTTTTTCATTTTTATATGCTATCGCTTTTTATGAAAAAAGTCCCATTGAAGTGACAAAATCTAATCCTTCAACACGGCTCTAAGCAATAAAAAATATGTTAATTCAAATACTATCCAAATGCACAACCGAATCCAATGCACAGCTAAAATATACCTAATAAATGAGGCATAAAATTTGAATTAAATATTCAATTAATTTGCAAAATATTAAATTAAAAAAACCATAAAAAGCAATAGGGTGAAATATTGAAACAACCGAAAAATTAAGACTATTTGGACAATAAAAAAATCTTAAAACCACCCTGTATGGACTAATTAATATGAACATAGATTGTGTACATAAAATAATCACATGATTTTGGCGAATGTTTGAAACCTCTAATATTTAATTACTTTCTTCACATACCTTACGCTCCGGGAATCTGTATACATGTTCCTTTCGAAATCTTTTCGATCGATCTATTTTATTGTTAAGTTATATTTAAAGACACTAAATGTATTAGTATATTTAATATTAAGTAAGTTATCATTCTGCGTAAAATGAACTAGCATAAATATTAATTTCTACTCAGATTTTTCGAATATTGTAAATGGTTAAGCATAGTATAGTTTACTATGCTTAACCAGGTTATCTCAAATCGAGATAAAGTGACACAAATTCTTAAAATAATTCTGAATTTACTAAAATAAAATGTAATTTGATGACATCAACTAGGGAAAAGATTCTAAACGAATAATTTTCCATTACTAGAAGAATTTTTTACCTTCTACGTGATACTACTCTAAAATCGCAAAATCAATATTAGGATTCTCCAGGTTCAAATGCAGCAATCTTTTATGTTCCTAATCAAAATCTACTGTTTTTTGTTTTCTTTTGATAGTCTTATAAATATTTATTATATAAATTCGTTTTTTCGGTCTAATTGATATCAACAATTGACATATAATTTGATAATTAAAAATTCAAAATTAAATGAAAAAGTTAGGCTTCTTTAGGAAATTTGATGCAAGCAACCGACCGCCGAATTTTACTTATTACATATATTCTACTCTATAAGATAATTTTCTTTGCTCCAAAAAATGTGAGATATATTTCAATAATTAAAGTATATTAATTTAATTACTTAATCGAATTAATATTCTATATTCGAAGAATATATTTCAATTTTTAACAAAATATATTCACAGAATATATTTTATATAAGCTTCCCACTTTAACCAAGCAAAAATTTATCATATTTCATCACTGACATGGAATCTGTCTACATTGTAAGTTTATATAAATACAAAGCAAAAGGAATGGAAATTAGCTAAAATAATTTGGGTACTTGATGGACAAAATGAAGTATTTATGCCAAAGCCAAATTCCAAAGTTTCTGAGCTATTAATTAATTATTTATTAAGGCGTCTAATTTATTATTATCTTTATTCATGCGCAGCCTAAGTTACTCGTATTAATGCCACTTAATTGTCATGCTCTAAACCCCCTGCTCCTACCAAACACCATACCCTGAAATATATTAATTAAAACTTATCTAAAAAACTTAACTAAAGAATGGGCTTTTATGAAATATAAAATTAATTTTCTGTTGGGGTACAAGGTACAACATGTACACTACATGTTGTACTGAGCTACACGTCCGTTTAGCAGATTTGATAACTTTCACAATTTTGTCACTATTGGAACTCTTGTGCTTAAGCTAAAGCATCTATAAGTTTTTTAAATTCATCCAGAACTCATTATAAAATTGGTGCAATATATCATAGGCACCCATGATCGCAATTCGTTAAATTGATTTGTGATTTAATTACCGAAATACCTTTACCATTCAATATAATTCTGATTTATTTTCCTGACTGCGTGTACTTGTTATGATATTCCTATCTTTCCTGGGTTTCAGTACACAACAAAAAAACAAAACTAAAAAACTCAACGAAACTTCAAAAAATTCAATATAATTCTCAATATCTTCTCTTGATGAAGCTTTTTAAGTATAATTAGATTACTCTCCAAAAACTGCACGCTTATGGCTTCCTTATTACATATACCTATTCAATTATCGATAAATGTTATCCTTGATCTATAGACGTACAATTATTTCCAACTCCAGTAAAATCTAAATGACTATACTACGCAAATATTTTTTTGCAATTTCTCTTTTGAAAAAAAAATATTGGAAGATACCCACTCATTGAGTATAATCGTGAAAATTGATATTGACTAACATTCTAAACACGTTCTTAAAAAGAGAAAACAAAAAAGTCACATGAGGCTGAACCAACGTTCTTAAGGGCATGTGCATTAATGTAAGGAAGTATCTAAGTATCTTGATCCTTTAGGATCAACTTCCATTGTGCCATATTCATGTATAATGTTAGATCATATTTAACATTCAAATGAAAAAAATATATTTCTCAAACAAATACTTTAATACAGTTCTCACATGTTATTTCTAAATAAAAATTAATTTAACTGATAATTATTGTATAATTCCTAGGTTCGTAGCATTTTAAACAAAAATTAAAGGATTTCTGATGAATCCTGGACACACAATGACGTGCTTAATCACGTCTAAATTTTTACAAATGAGAAATAAATTAATTTAATAATTAAAAGAGCTTTTACAATTAAGTTCAAATAAAATTTAAGATGAGATCTTTGCACGAATTTTAGCAAAATTCTTAGATTGGAAGGAATTGAAGGTGGGAAGTTTTCAAATGAACATCATGCCAAATTAACACAATTAAGAACAAAATGTTTAGCATTCTATGTAAATAAACTTCTATTGCCATTGCGAATTTATTGAAGGTTGAACTGTTTGACTCTTATTAATTGAACAAGATTTTTTGATATTTAAATAATGCTTTGCAACATAAAACATTGTTTAAATTTAAAAAAATCAATCTATCGACAAATGCCGTGAATTGGTATTTTAATGAGAATATGCAAAAGCTAAACTAATATAATACGAATAAGAACATAGTCATCTAATTTTCGCATTAAAATGTGCAGATAAGGGGCTTGAATATGTGATAAAGTCAAATTGACTTTTTTTAAAGTCATCGGATAAAAAGAATGGATCATCTACTCTGTTTCTTTGCAAAAGCATCAAATAATATCCCCAATAAATACATGTTCGGTAATAAACTACAGCAGGTAACAAAATTGATTTCGCTAAAAATACCACCCAGGATAATCAATTTATTGCAACAATTTCTACATGGACACAATAATACAGCGATTAATATAAACTAATAATGCTGAGATGCATTAGATTGAAAATGAACATGATACTTAAATATTTCCCGGCAATATTTTTACTGGGTATAATATAATAAAATATTTCTATATTAATGATGAATAAAATGTTCCAATTGAATCGGTGAGTCTTTTTACTAACATTGCAGGCTACCAGGCGATTTAATAAAATATATCATTATTTTCTAATAATAGGACATTCGTTTTTGCCCTGTGACAGGAATTTTGGTTGTGTAAAAAGGACTTTCAGGAGAGACGATCGAATTTACATCCCAGAAGAACATAAAGAGATGATAATGTCTTCAAGAAAAAAATAACCGTTTGCTGCAGAGTAAATTCAATATAACGGTATTCTTGATTGAAATTTAAAAACTGATTGACTTTAATTCGTGGTGCTAATCACCGAAAAGAAACTTTTGCTGTCTACAGGCAGTTCTTCTGTAAAAGTTCTAGTCCTGGAATTGTGACCAGCTGACAATTTATAGATGGATTTATTTTCCACACCTTCAATTTATTGACAGAACATAAAGAAAACCCGCCTCGAAAGTTACGAAATATATCACTGGTAAAACTTTACAATTTTATTCCCATGTTGTAAAACAACAAAGACCGAAAATGTATGTTCTTATTCCTTTTTATATAGAGGGCGTTTGGTAAGTAGATGCATTCCTTGCATGAGGTGATAGTGCAAGTAATCTTGGATATATCTCTTTAATAGACCATATTCCGAAAACTCTTAGTTTCCAATCTGCAGGGTGTTAAAGTTTTAATTTAAAAAAATATTTTATTAATATTGCGGAAATCGCTTGGAATATTTTAATGGAATTTTGCAGGCTTAGGCACTTAACATTACACATTGACACATTTTGTTATTGAAAAAGAAGAAGTTGGTGTGTACACACTGGATGAAAATCAATCAAACAAGTTTAATATAATAAAGTGTGTATGTAATTAGGTAAATAAGCCCAAGTACTTTCGACAATTACAGTCAGTATTGTTACAATTAAATTACAATTCATCATCAGGGCCGTCGTCAAAACAGAACAAGAGCACCGAAGAAAACATGTTAAACAATGATAAAAACAGTTGAAAATGGGTAAAAAAATTCATTACATAAAACTTGTTTGCTTGGTTTTCATTCGTTCATATTTCGTTTCGTTCCGTAACGAATTTAGACCGTTTTAACCCGTTTTTTACGTGCCTGTGCCCATACCCACGCCACTGGAAAAGCTACAAACATTTTTTTTATCATAAAACATGTATTGCTGTTAAGTGCCTAAGCCTGTAAAATTTCATTAAAATATTCCAAGCGGTTTCCTCAAAAATAACAAATAACATTTTTTTAGTTCCATATCCAAAATTACTTGCACTATCATCTCCAGCAAGGAATGCATCTACTCACCAAACAGCCTCTATAATACTATATAAACAGGTCAAAACATACATTTGTATATTTCTATTCTAAATTGAATTCGAAACCCGTACAAATAAATCCATTAGCTTTCTTTAGCTATAAACCCATTTTGTTTTTCTGAATATTTATTGCTAAGAATAGACCGCCAGGTCTAAAACTTTTCTGTGCATATTAATTCTATCAAATAAGAAATTTCAAAGTTTATAGGATTTTATTCAATACCTCAACACAACGTTTTTGGACTTGTACGGTTTTCGAACTCACCGATTCAATTGTAGACTTAAGCAAAGTTGCTTCAATGCATTAACAAGAAATACACAACATCAATGACCAAAAATTATAACAAGAATATTTAGTAGAAAAAAAAACGTCGAGTCCATAGTCGACAAAGAGTCAAACGTTAAAGCGTTTATAGCTTTACCGTCTTCCATCCATAATCGTCTACCACAGATAGACGTGATTCCATTGTAACAATCACGTCCAAAAAATTATTGCAAGCTATTCATCAAAACCTGGTGCTATTTTTATTACTTTACCTTTAAAAAGCTCTCCCAAACGCAAAAGTATTACGCCCTGATTAAAGATCCATGGATGTTTACATAATATCAAAACTAAATCCATTTAGTTACTGTACAATACAATTTTCTATTATGATATAATACGTTCTTCTCTACGTACGTACGAGTAACGTATTATATCATAGTAGAAAATTGAGAAACAACATCGAAAACTGATTGAATAAAAATCCAAATATGTATACTGAAGTATGAGTTTTTGGTGTAAAACGAGATTTGCAGATATGAATACGGAATTTGATTTTAATTAACATCGATAACAATACTTTCTGCCTTCGTCATTTTTAATACCCACTAAAAAACTGCCCGATATAATCTTGCAAGTTTAGCAAATGCGGCATTTTACAGCTAAATGCGTATGTAATTAATAAACAATGCTTACCTTTTGGGGTGATACTTAGATCAGAATCGGATGATCTTCGATGTAGAGGAACCATATAATTGACTTTCACTGGCGATTCAGAAGTTCCAGCTACTGCATCTGATGTATGCTCTTTCTTGTCACCACCAGTCTGGTCTTGCCTTTCTTGAGCAGGTGGGGAATGATGAGATGTTATGCATGCAGATTTAGTTTTGCTGTGAGCGATAAAGTCACCTGAAGCTAAGTCTACAGAGCTAGGTGGCTTAAGTGGCGGATTTAAAACATCGGTTAAGGAAAGATGTTGAGTGTTAGAGGATAGAGTAAAATCGGAAGGTTGGGTAGGTTTTTGACAAACTAACACTTCATTAGAGGTTTGAGTTTCTTTGTCGTTCATATGTACTTCATTGTGTGATGAATGAAAAATATGTGATAACCTGTTTTGATGTCTTACATCGGACTTATAATCATCTAAACTACTTGGTTTGCTTCTTGTTCGAAATCGGTGGAACATCTTACTGTTTTGGCCATGTTCGCCAGTCTTCCATGATAGAAATCTGAACATATTTTTGTGGCGGGGTAATTTTTCACTCACCGACTTTCGCAACGGTCCATTTTGATATAGAACAGTTGTATGGTGATCAGCAGATTTATCATAATCTTGCTCGGCTTTAAGAGAAGATAACGATACAAAAGGCATTCCTAATACAGTTTCCTTTGATTTTTGGTGATCTCCTAAGGAAACCGAACTAAATGTTTTTGGAATACTTTTCGGTACATATTCTCCCATGTTGAATGTAAAGGATCTTCCCCTGCTGGTATTAGGTTCATCACTTACTAAATTTGGAGAAGTTGGGGGAGTATAAGTGCCCAAAATGTTAAATTTATCTAGTAGCATTGTTTGCACTGCGGTTTTAACAATTTTCTTAGGCTGAATATTAATATATTTTAAATTAACTTCGGCAATAGTACTGATATCATCCGAACGTTCGATACATTTTCCGTGCTCAACGTTTCCATCTTCTAAAACTCCAAGTTTTTCACTCCCATCTGCTTCACCAATCTGCGGAGTGTTATTATCAGATGTTGAACTTACGATATTGGCTCTTTCAATTAACATAGCTTCAAGCGCCGCATTCACTATACCCTTGGGGTTAATATCTTTGTCGTGACCACTAGTTTTGACATGGGCACATTTTTCCGGACCTAATTGCTCTGTTACTTCAGGAGCACCCAGTATATCTGCTCGTTCAATTAACATGGTTTGTAATGCTGTTTTCACTATACCTTTTGAATCCTTTTCCTTCCCGACGGGATGATGGGAATTTTCATCATTTACTTTACCAGGATCAGAAGCCTCTGAAAGGGCTTCATTAGTAGTATTGAGGCTATCTGTACCCGAAATATCAGCTCTTTCAATAAGCATAGTTTGCAGTGCCGTTTTAACTATCCCCTTAGAATCGGACTCGTTGTGTTTACCCAGTGTGTTAAATTTTCCGCTGGCAAAATAATATTTAGACTTGTCATCTTTAATGCAAGGAAATTTAAATTCGCTTTCTGTGCTAGTTCTGGATGAATCTGAAATTTTGCCTTCAGTACTTGTTTGAGCAATGTCAATAGGTGTCGTAGTATATAATAAATTCACTTCAGGTTCATTTGACTGGGAATTAGATTGTTCAACATAGTGTTGTTGAAACGCTTCACCAGATGGAAACTTCCATTCTTCCTGTTTCCGGTCAATACCATGATCATTCTTTATTGTATTAGATAATTTGCACTCTGCATCAGATGGGATATTTGGTTGATCTTGTTCTTTAATAAATGGAGTAAGAGCACAGTTCCTTTCATTTAATATTTGAGTCAAGTCTTTTAAACATCTCCGAGTAGAATCTCCCAATTCTTGAACAGATAGTTCAGGTAAATCAAGTTCCTCGCAAAGCTTAGCTTCAGTCAGTCTAGAATCATACGCATCCGAAGAACGTCGTTCCTGTTCAAAGTTTGAATCTGAACGTTCGAATTTTGAGACATTGCTAGTCACGGAGAAAACACTATTAATTGACCTGTTTATGCTGTTCTCCCTATGTAATCGCTCTGGGAAATTATCAAGACTACTAAGTGAAAATCCTCGAGTTGGAATGGCTGGTAAAGAATACTGCTTATGCAATCCATCTCGTGACAAACACCTTTGTAATTTCTCAACATTAGTTATAATATTACTTAGCGTTTCTACATCATTATTGGCATTATTGTAATCCTTATATTCATAATATGAGCAGTAACTGCTTGAATCACTACTAGAGCATGACTGGACATCACTCTGTGTTTCTACAAATCCACTTACTTCAGATTCACTTCGATCGAGAAAATTAGGTGTAGGTTTTGCCTTTTCAATACCATCATCATCGTTGGGAAGATGAGGCTGATCTTCTAATATACAACTTAAACTCGTAGTGGCACGCATTACAGATCTCGCTAATATTTCCGCCATAGCACTGGAGTCACTCGAAGTTCTTTTAAATAGTTTTCGTTTATTGATATTCCGGCTTTGAATAACATCAGTTTCTTCTCCTATACTGTCGTTTAATTTCGCTTTTAGCGCAATCATCTTCTTTGAAAGAGATTTCTGAGAATGTTTGAATTTTTTAAACCTTCGCGACATGACAGATTTGCCACGTTTTTCTTCTTGATCGAGTAGATCTTTTATATTGTGCCCTTGATATAAGTTAGGATTGGATACGGATGGAGACAACTTGTTAGAATGTTCACAAACATAATGGCGTTTTGTTACGTGTGACGTACCCGATTGGCTATTATTTGAATTACTGAAAGGGTCAAACAAGGAAAGATGAATCTTATGAGGGGGTGATGTTGAGCATAAGCTAAAGCTCTTCCCATCACCAACAAATTTTAGGTAATTTTCTACATTCCTGCATTTAAAAATTTTGCAATTAAAACCAGCAATTTATTATAGTTTAAAATAGCAAAAAAGAGTTAAAAATAGCAATAATGTTATAATGCAAGTCACATTTAACCATTATAATCACTTTCATTGGACATATACAGGGTGATTCAGTAAGAAATGATAGAAGAAAAGATCTACTAGAAATCAAATAAGTTCCAATAATGGGCAGATTGTATAAAATTCATTTTTCAGACGCTAGGCTCATTTGAAATAAACCACTAACTTTTTGGGCTTGTAGTACCCAATATAAATATATACAAATTGCTCACACATTTAAATTAATCACAGTGGTCACGCTCATCTAAAGCATAAAAGGCTTCTTGGCACAAAAACCGATTTAGAACCGTCTTTAAATGACGTCTTGTGAGGCAGCACAAGTTTCGAGATATGATTATAATAATTTTTACAGTTAAAAATTATTATAATCATTAAATTAGATATTTTTATTTGAGAGCGCTTAACAATATTTTTATTAAAAGATCACCGAGCGCACCACCGAAACCGTACCTAAACTTCTCTCACATATGAATTTATGTCATGCTAAACCACCCTGTATATGCAATCATAAAAAACAAGTATTAAAATTAAATTTCACACATAACAAAAATTAATTGCTCAAATTTGCTGCACACTAATAAAGTACTCGTATTCCGTCAATAACGTGGATAAAGTATGTATTCCGAATTGTGTAACATCCACCACGAGAAACCCTGTTTCCTAAATCATTTATACCTTTTTAATAACCGAGAAACTTTTAAACTTGTATCAATTTTAATTAATTTTTATCGATCTAGTAAAACAGGATATAGCTGAAGAAATAGGTGCGCTTTATAATCTTATGGTGCACGCATCTTACATAAAATGCATCGAAAAGGCGAGAATGTAGTAACACTAAAATGGACCTAAGCTGTTATTACTCAGCAGCCCAGAGGATGTTACACATTGCAGAAGAAACGTATTTACCTTCGTTTTTGTACCCTTAATACAGTTGAAAAAAATTAGTTCAGCACAAGTAACTAAAAGTACAACTTTTACAGTCGTAGTAATGTTAATTAAACATCTGTTTTAAACCCAAAACTTTTCACACAAGCACTGAATAAAACAAAGTAATATCTCAAATACTCACTCTTCTTTTGCCTCAACGACTACGTTAGCTGTATTGTAAGCTTTTATTAAAGTCACAGCTGTTCCAATGCCTCTGGCCACAATTCCAGACTCTCCCTCAATATCAAAACATTGTCTGTAACCAATTACAGCATTTCCTCCTACGCCCAAAGCTTTAACACCTAAATAAGACAATATAAATTTTAGTTACAATGTTACATTAATGAAATAAGAATTTCATGTTCATATAGCATTTTTGAATTGCCGATTTTTCAAAAAAGTGTTCTATTACAGCTTTAATGAATCAGTTATCATTTTTTTCAGTGCAGTTGTGCTTTCACTAAACACGTTTTTTCCTCATTGATGTACCCTGTATGATTTGTTTAAAAAAATAATTATTAGACTTTAATATAAATATTTCGGTAATTGAGACAAAAACTTCCAATTAGCTACACTTTAATGCCTCCAAATTAGCGAATTCCACCAAACTGTCAAGTTCATGAAGCTATTTTTAATGCTTAGATCGACAGTTTTCTATGGAAACTTCTTAAAAGCAGTGTTAACTTTCTTATTTTCTTCCATCCAACGAAGACATTAATTAAATGAAATAACCGCCCATTCACTTGACATTTTCTAAATAGGTTCGTCTTCATGATCAAAATTCTTTGATTTTGAATGATGAATGAAAAAATCTTTGAATTGATTTTTTCTTGTCATTACCGGAGTTCAAACCTTCTTGTCCAAAATATCCTCTCTCATTTTTCAACTGACATTTTATCTATCGGTTGATTAGCTGGCTTTTTCACTAGATCAGGTTCTCTTGAGTTAGGAAATCGTCTTCTCGCATTCGCCATTTTTTCAATAACTTCTTTCCAAGAATTTGGCTATCGCAAGAACCGCATATTTCACCGACAAATTTGAAACATTTTGGCTTTTTGCAGGAATGAGTTTTTTCGATTTTTCCGGTAGGGAATTTTCACTCTTTGTATCACATTTTATCAACAACTCATCTATCAACTGAATCAGGGCGATACAACTGGGTGCTGGATGGTCAAAACATTATGCGACTTACCATCATGACTAGACATGAACCAACACGCAGACACCAACTAACATAAAATGTCATGCGTTTGTTCAAGAGTTTATGTGTCATGATTCGGTTCTACCCGCAACGAACATCCCATGAAATAACTTAAACGAAGTGAAGCTTTGCACCAAGTAATTCGGATAAGAATATTAAAGTGTACAGATTTTTTATATTTTTTATGAAATCGCGGCGTTTCAATCGCATACGCGGCCTAGTGCGAATTATAGGATGCCTCGGACCATCATAGAAACTTGGAATATTTAAGCATTAGAAACAAATTGTGTTTCAGCAACTTAGAAAGATGTTGAGTTTTTAAGACACTAACCGATTCTTCTCTGTAGTTCTCCAGACAATTTGAAAAATAGCGTCTGTCTAGCTTCATTTGATGCTCTTGGCGTTCTAATTTTATCTATCCATTGGTACTCTGGGTCATCATCTACTATAAGTTCTTCTACAAAGCCATTGATAACTTTTGCGTGATATCCTTGTGGAATAACAGGTGCTAAAACATACATAGTTTGTGCTTTGACGTTTTAATACATGTTTTCAAATTTAGTGTGCGACTATGAAACTTACAATAAAAAAAATGTACCCCACATGAGGACTGTCGAAATCTGTTAAAATCGGAAAACAGTTCCACTTTAACGGTAACATTTACTTCGCCCCTAATACCATGCATAGTATCATATACAGGAATCCAACCGGATATTTCATGATGTGGATTATTATCTCCTATTTCCAATTGTCCTGCCACTGGCAGAAGTAAAGGGTTTAAGTTTAAATATACTTTGCCTATAGCATCATTTGCAGAATACGTGTCATGATCCATTAATCTTATTTGGAGGGGCTCATCTTGTAATTCTGAATCGTCCACCTAAAACGCAGCGGTTACAAAAATACACAGAAACCACTCTATCACACGCGTTTACCTCAAAACGATACCAATCTGTATTCCATTGCGGATGTAAAGTTCTTCGACAAACATCAGTTTTGTAAGTTGTATTGCCTAATTTAATTTCAACATATGCGTCCGTTGTATCACTGGACCTATCCATAACTGGTAGGTTCTTACCAGAAATGATTTTTACTTTAACTTTTCCTGGCATCTTGGAGACTTTACTAAATACGCTGATTTAAATCCGATTCTGCAAAATAATAATGCAACAACTGTGCCAAAAGCCCAGCACAGACAATGATAAATTTAACATTTGGTAACATTTCAAATAACAATTAAAGACATACCAAAATCTGCTATTTTTAGTTCGTTTTCATTTTTAAAGTCTACAGGTCTAAGGTTATAGTCAAAAATTAGTATCTGGGGGGTTATGTTATGATTTGGTCACCGCAAGTTCTTCATCTTTCCCAGCATCGAGAAATAAATACAATAATATGAGTTTCCCACCCTAGTAAATATCTATAAAAGGGAAAGAAAACTTCTCATACTAATAATAATATAATAAGTAGCTAAATTTTAACGAAATTTAACATCAGAAGGCATCATAATAAAAAAAATTTTAGAGGAAAATGTGTAAAATCGTGCTACTAGTGTTCTCGTGCTAAACTAGATTCGAGCTTTCTTGAAAAGTCTGAGATCAAGAAAAACTTATTCCAGACCAGAATTTATGTTTTCTAATTTAGCTCATATGCGACTGAACCAAATATATATATCTGATAGTTGCATTTTAGGTTTTGGACCAGGCAGAGCTTTTTTATATGAAGAATAACTTTTTTGGAAAAAAAATAAGTTTCCAATGTTGCTGATATCTTACATAACTAACTACATAATGAAAAGTCTTCCGGCGGCCTAACTTAAGTAGCTTCTATCTATAGCTATAGAAAATTGATAGGATAATTTTTCATGTATCTTAAATATGTTTGTGTTGTAGATTTGGAATTAATGAACTGGGAAAAAGTATTAACGACTCTTTTCGCAACTTTTGGGCCTTTTTTCGGCAAAATTTCCTTTCTGCCTTTATGCTATGGTATTACGTCCTTCGCTCTTCTCGACTTTTGGTTATGTCCTTGAATCTTCATTTGCCGCGAAAAAAGTTTGAACTTTGTAAGTGACATAACCTTGATAAAGTAAGCAGAAAAATAATCAATTTTTGCTGCGTCAAATATATAAATATGTTGGGGACTTAATATAGGGCAGGTAACTACCTATAACCCTAGCCCAAAAATAATTAAAATACGAATTATGCTCACTTATGCTAGTTAGTTAAAATCAGGCAATCGTTAAGATGGAGAGTAATTCATTTGATGAAACAGCTAGTCGGTCCAGCAGAGACAATAGCTTACATTTAGGCACCTCCCAAACCAGTCTCAAAAGCACAAAAAGCCTCGATAAATCAAGCTCAGGCGGAAGTTTGAAGCGAGAGAAGGTCACTATACAATTTAAAGATTGCCCCCAAGAAACTGACAATCAAAAATATCCTGCAGATTCATCCCTTAAAGTACCTCATAAAATAATAGCTAATTGGAGATCAGCCTGTGATAAGACCAAAGATAAAACTAAAGATCTGTTAAAACGATGGAGAACACTACCTGAAATTGAGACTGAAGGAGTTGATAAAAGCTCAAGTGATGCTGAAGTGCAAAAAGAGAACCGCAATGAAAGTGGATGGAGTGTTCATGTGTGGAGTAAGTATGAATTTATTAATTAATTAGAAGTGGAAAAGAATGTATGCATTCATAAAAGTTTCTATACTCATAGATCCGGAAACGCGATAAAAGTTGATATGGAAAATTGTTCTGTTTTGTCTTTCAAAAACTAGTTACGTACTCTGATATATTTTCACTATTTTAACGAGATTTGAAAGTAATTTCAATTCTGTAAACACTGGGGTGCTTTTGATGCCAGAAAATATGGAAAAAAATATTTAACGAAAAAAAAAACAGCTATTAAATACTATTCCCAAAAATACCTTCTCGAGGAATACACACTATTTCCCGTCAACAACAAGAAAATGTAATTAACAAAACTGCTTACACCTTGAATGGCCGTTAACGTTATAAAGTAAATTACTCAGGCTTAGTGCAAAAATACTATCTCTAACTTTCGCTAGTTTTCGACGACGGAAAAAATAAACAATTTTTTCCTTCGAAAACTTCACATTATTCAATAAATCTTTAAGAAAGGTTTATTTCAGTAAAATAGTACGGGATTTAAAATCAAGTGCAAAATACAGTGATTGTTTAATTTTTTTTGTCTATTTAACTGCAACCATACGCACGCCCCACTTATGTTTTAAACAACGCTTTTTCACATTTTTGAAAAAAAATAATTTTCACATTGCTCAACACTTTTATCCTCTATAAGGAGCAAATTTATTGGGAGTAATCAATTTTTAATAGGATGGAGCATGTCCCTTGTTTTACTATAACATTTTGTAAGTAATGTTTTATTGCTAATGTTGTATCTTAGAAATGATTTCGTGGCCTCTCATCCTGTATTCGGTTAACTAAAATAGATGAATATTAACTATATTAATATGTTTTCAGCTACCTGGGTAGACAGATTCAGTATTGATTCTGATGAAGAGCACATCAAAGAACAGCCTTATATTCTGACTCCGATGCAAATAAGCAAATATTCACATTTCTTTACAAATCTGTTGGACCACGACCAAGACAACCTAATTTGCGAACAAGATTTTGAAGCATTAATCGAGGTAGGTGTTGTTAAATAAACTAAAATCGTTACATTATTTATAAAATATATACATATGAAACCATAGGAAAATGCCAGTTAGTGGACCTTTTAGTCCTCAACTCGCGTGTGGAATTGGAATGTCCTAAATAAAAAAAACTATTATCTATATGGAGTTTCCCTTAGCCTTTTAAATTGTTCTTTGAAGAGTTGGTTTCTATGATAAATTTGCTAAAAATTTGGTGTAACTTTGCCATCAAAAAGAAAATATTTGGAAACATGCTCAACCTGTCGGAAAGTTTCTTTCTCTTCAAAATGCACAGCGAGAATCATACATCCAGGCAGATATTCGTTGGCAAATATGTCAGCGTTTCAACACAATTGTTCGTTTTTTAAATGTTCTCTTCAAAACTTAACATGTCTAACAATATCGAAATCATATGGCCCTCATCATAGTCATATTTTGGATCCGGTTGCTTTAATTATTTTTACTGCATTGCTACTTTAATAACATACAAATAATGTCGAAAGATAGTTGCGTGCAAACTAACTAGCAGGGTATCTTATATAGATGTAGCAACTACTGCCTATGATTTTTATGATGGTGATTTGCACTGAATTTCAACTTTGTCAGGACAAAGCAATAGTTATCTATTGCGTTAAAACTGCAAATCCCATTAATACGATAGTAATGAATTGTTATTCTTCCAATCCGTCGAGAGGTCAAAGTAGTATTTTTAACGGAGACTAGATGTGATCCTTAGCTCTGTCTCAAAGCTTATCTATTCATTAGCTTCAGTTTATATTAAAAAAAACCAGCAACTTTAGTACTTATGTAATTACATGCAGTAACGTTTTATTCCATGCTGCTTTGGATTAATTTTTAAAGCGATTAAGACATTTTGCTGACTGGTCGCAACATTCTACAGAATTTAATATCCTGCGAGAAGTGGAAAGAGGCTTTATTTCTACATTTTTAGCGGAAATATCAGATGACAAACACGGTATGACATAGAATTATAAAACTTAGTATTCTACTGAAATATTTAAAGACGGAACGTATTTTTACTGCATGCAAACAGCACAATTGTGACTAAACCGGCTTTTCCTCTGCGGCTACAGTTCGATTAAATTTTTCGAAAAAGACCAAAACTACCAGTTTCGAGAATACGTAAATGCATACGTTATATATACTCAACCACAACAAGGACAACAACTAAACTAACGTTACTTAACTTGTAATTTCAAGTTCACCAAACTGGTGAGTGAAAATTATCACTAACACAACTATCACTTTTTAATATATACACTCAAAAATGGAAATTTATTAAAATGTTAATTTTGTTTCCTTTATAAATTTCCTGTTACGTAGCGGATGTATTTTATACAAAATCTGTATCTAAAAAATAAGATTTTTGGCTTTAACATAAATTTTAGTTTTGATTCAACGAAAGTTGAACTTATGTATTTTTGCATATACAGACATTATTTTATCATTGAAATACTACAAATTCATACTGTGAGTTGATGTTTTTATAATATTGTATTCGAACTGTGGCCTGTTCACGCATCATGGCACACCATTATATATACAGGGCGTCCCAAAAGGAACCTCACTAGCGTGTTGTTCGTTAAAGATTTGATATAAAGATTCATGACAACATGACCACTAAAACGCCGCCTGGAAATACAGAGTTAAAAAAAATTTCTTAGTTTATGCCAGAGCTTCTTAAACTTTTTTCATTCACAACCTTTTTTATGATTCCAAGTTTTCGAATAACGTTATGACACTTAAATTTGGGCCACTTTGTATATGCAAGATTCTATTGTTCCCAAAAATCATGGAAGAAGGATTATTTTATGACAGAAATTTCATATAAATCTAGGTTGAGAAACGCTTTATTTTCTATAACATTAATACGTATTGACATTTTTTAGTTTGCTCTTTATCATTTTTGTATTTTTTCATATATTTATTATATATTTGGCTCAAATTTTAAATGTATGTTTTACAACCTCAAGAGTGTACGGCGTGTGACATGTGAGAGAAGGTGTATTGAGTAGAAACTTTTCAATAAATGATACTAACTTTTTGGCCGGTTACAAATTTCTGAGATGCAAAAAACTTTTGAAATTTTAACAGAATAGATCTGGAACGAAGTGCTTGCCGGCTTAGGCTTGTAGCAATGTTTAGTGATACAATATTCTAAAGAATTGCCTCGTTTCGTATGCACATACTATTTGGGAATAGTCTGTATATTTGTAATTGGCATCCTCAAAAATCGCTTTCAGGTTTTGAGTTGAACAATGTCAGCTATATTAACAAGGAGGGCTGGTTGCATAAATGGGCTGAGCTGCTGAAAGGTTCTAAAAATTTAATCGACTTTCCGATTTGGTTGCAATTTTTTGTGAAGGTCTTATTTCAAGTGATAAATCGAGGAGGTAATTATTTTATAACTACTACATGATGATAGTGCGGTAGTTAATAACTCGTGTGATTTATAGTATGTTTTTTTATATAAGGTACTGAAGTAATAACAAGAGATGAACTTAGTAATTTTTATTCATCCGTGCTTTGTTTGGATACAACGAAAGTGGGAGAAATTCTGGATATAGCATATCAAGCAATGACATCAGTAAGTTATGCATTTTATAAGAACTTGCTTTAATGTACTTGACGTTTGTCCGATAATTTCAGAATGGGGACCATCCTCTGCATTACAGATCGTTCAGACTGTGTTTTTCTAACTATTTATTAGGCCGATATCCAAATGGATCTGGACACCATATTTTGGGAGCACCCCCAGATGAAAAATCGTCCACCATGTTTCCAATAGATTATTCAGCTTTAAATGCACAACCCGAAGACTTAGAGCAATACACACCAGACCAAAAGTCGAATAGGAGAAGCGTTATTGTTTAAAACATATGTAATGTACATATACACGACGAAATATACATATAATATTTTAGAAAAGCCAATCGTTTCCACAATAACGAAATATTACTAGTAATATGGTGTTGTTTAAGACAATTGAGTCACATCTATGAAAGCATTACATCTATTTCTCCCTTATGTGATTCGCTGTCGCAACAAATGTATGCATTAGAAAAACATTGCGGAGATATATATTGAGTTCAAATAAATTCCTGTTTTGTGTAGCAAACGGTTGGTCTAAATATATCTGTAATTTATTTCAGACAGGTATTTCGCCCTGTATATATTTTGTTACTAGCTTCCTTGAAAGAAACATATGTCGAGATGGCCTAAAGTTAAACTGATGGGTGAAAGAAAATTTCCTACTTGGAAGAAAAATCGAAGGAAAGACAATCTGCAAATAATTTTCAAACGCCGCGCTAGGGATCCATGTTCTCCCATGGACCCCCCTTAAATCGTAAATAGATATATCAAAACAATTAGGATAGTGGTGCAAAATAATCATTAATAGACGCCGTGTTTGAAAAGTAAACGCGGCCGTTAAAATACCACATTTAATATATTTTAAACAAATTTTCGATGTGCCTAGAAAAATCAAGTAGCCGAGGATCGTAAAACACATTGTGGGATGTCCATCATCAAATATCTCAACTGGGAGAAAATTGCACAATTAAAAAATGGGATTATTCAAAAAAAGGAGAACAATTTCTCCATTATTCCGGTGACCCTGGAACTAAAATGCTTTAAAAGAAACCTCACTTGAACTAGTTACCGCAACTTCGATTGTCCAACATTAAATTGTTTCAATTTATCAACTATCTGGTACACATTTATTCAATGTGTCGAAATTTAATGGATGCAATAGAAACTGATGTTGATGCAACTACGCTACATAGGAAAATTATTTCTACCTGTTACTTTCAAAATAGCTTTCTTTTATCAGTACTTTTCCTTTCTCGTATTACCAGGACAAGCGAATTTGTATCAAATCTAAATTAGGTCTCAAATTTTAAATGTTCACAAATTTGCTGACTAGTGAGTAGAGATTTGTTTTATCTAGTTTAATTGTGATGGTTTGGAGATTTTTTTTTAAAGCATTATTTAATTATATCATTTTTTTATGGTAGAACATGCGGAGAGATAAGCACGTGTTATCAAAAGCATTTAACCAAAACGAAAGGGCTTCTTTAATAATCAACACGAGAAACCTTGACAATATACGAATATGATTTGAACTCGATAGGAGAATTTACAATTTAATCCTGCTGCTTAAAGAAATGGTTTTGTTTATACTGAACCGAGGAAAATCATCCTTTAATAGCAATCAAAAAGATACCTTAAATATATTTTCCTGTTATCTTACTGTGTTTGTGCAGATATAATTAATTGTTTCTAGGAGATGATCCGTGATAATTAGTGAAGAACAGTAGATAACTGATATGAAACTATTACGACGTTAAGTTAATAGATTAACTAATTACATGTTATTTGTAACAGCATCTTTTTCTTTTATAAAATGTCTATTCTGTGAGTTCAAGGATGTACTGTATGAAAGCATGAGCCATAAAGTATGCAATTTCTTTGTTATAATTGTGTTGGTTAATTTTAATTTAAGGAAAAATCAAGTATTTCACCTACGTATTAGAGAAAATTGTGACATGATAATATTTTCATATAAGTAATTTATTGTTACTCTACCCGGTCCATTCCTGTATAATTTTTGTTCTCACAATTGTAACCTCTTGATCACGTTATGTAATTATATACTTTTTTACCTTTTTTAATTGGCGTTAAATCGTTATTAAATAATTTATAAAGATCATAGAAAATATAAATAACTTACAAACACTTACTTAATACATGTTCCGATTAGTTGAGTTATGAAATGTAGTATATAAGTCAATATAATTCCATATAGAATTTGTAATATGATTTAGTGGAATCATTTTTTATACGAACTATAGAACTTAATCCAATTTAATTCAAGTAGTATTAAAAAATATTTGCAAAATGGTTAACTGTAAATACATCTTACATATATTTTAACGAATAAAATAAAATAAATAACGACGGAAATTACATAACGTGGTCTTTTTGTTGATTTGACTGTGTAATATTGAAAGCAAACATTTAATATGCATGCATATCTTTAGTAATAAGTAGTTTTAAGAGCAATATAACAATGTGATTTAATACATAGCACTAAAGTGTATGAAATTGTTCAAAAAGTTCAGTTGAAGTTACAGTCAATTATTTTAAACTATACTGCAGTAACTGTAGTACGATAAAATTTAAGGAATCAGATAACTGTATATACACGTAAGATAAATTTTATAAATATAATCACAATAAGTAGGCTTGTTCCTTTACACAAGTGCACCTTCTTGAAAGAAATTCTAAATACTATGTGATATTGATGCGCCTATGCCTATTATTTAGTAAGAAATTTATTATTAACAATTGCAATTGTCCTCAAATCTTAATTGAATATTACGCACTTATATAATTATTGAAAATTTTTATCTGAGTAGTATTAGTTTAACGGCTTTAAAGCATTTAGCAAAAATACCGACTAACATTTGTGCTAATTATTATCCATGATTTTGTCAATTAATATGTTATTGTTAGTTCTATAGAAATATATCTTCATTATTATTGTTAATAAAATCGCCATAAACAAAGACGAAATAACGCTGTCTGCAACCACTTGGTATTTATCAGAGTGGCTTTAGTTGCAAAGATTAATATGTGGAGGTTTTTCCGCCAGACTAATTAATTCAATCGGCTATATATGAGTCCAGCCTAAATAAATCGGTATATTTTATTTCGTACTATATGTAATTTACGTATGTACAGGGATAACCAAATAAAAGTGGACAGGCTATAAAATTTTTATGAATCTAAGCCGTATAGAATTAAACTTTGACTGTTTTTTTTTCTGTCGAAACTTTCTAGATCTAGACATGGGCTGACGATGTTGAGATTGTTCGCTTGGATCAAAGTGTGTAAAAATGTCATATTGTTTTTCGTTCTCTGTTAAAACGATTCTACTGTAGGTTAATTTATGAATTGATGAATTTATGAATCCTTGGTTATAAATAAGTGTCGAAGCTTTTATTGGGACAATCTTGTACATCCATAGTTTACAGGCTGTTTCTAGATTTACGCAGAAGGAATTGTTATATTTGATTAAAATGAGTGTAAAATGTGAAAAAAGTACATATATGTACCAATAAGTATATATTTTATTGACTTTGTTAAGCAAGCTTTTATATACAAAATTAGAAAAAGTTAAGGCACGTTTGTAGAATGCATTTTAGCAATAAATAGAGAAATACCTAAATGTACATCTTTTATTTCAATGACTATTTACATCATAAAATACAATAATTTAAGAACAAGTCACCACACAGTTTCAAGTAGCCGTTAGATCTGCTAAAGATTTTAAGTATTGTAAATATATTTTAAGTATGGGTTCATTTGGAAGCATTGCAAGTTTCAAGTAGTCTTGGCTGGCGGCATTTCTATTTCCTTCCGCAATGTTCGTTGATAAATTTGTTAGTAGTTGTTGAATATTTTCAGAAAATTTTCCGCTTTGCCATATTGATAACATTTTCCAGATATGTTCTTTGATGCTTTCGTCCTTTAGTAATTCTAATGCTTTTGTAAAATTTTCACATGCCTTCAAATAAAGGACGTCTATGCATGGACTACCAACTGGGTCAGGTAATGTTTTAGAAGAGACGTCTGGCGACTGGGCAGTGCTTTGAGTAGTTGATGATCCCACTGGAAAAGCCACTCGTTTATTAGTGATTCTCGACTTAGGAGGTGGGTTTGCCGGACTATAGCTCAACATTGGGGGGTCATTCCAGCCCGGTGGGTAAACTAAAAGAAAAAATATAGTCTATCTTTAAGCGGCTTATAGCCACATATCTGTTACCTTTTTTGGGGGGTTCCCCCATCGTTTTCAATCTCTTTTTCAAAGTCTAGAAGTCTGGACTGAAAGCTTCCAGACTTCGCTTATTGTTTGTTTACAATTTATATCGGCGGATTCAGTGATCTGACGTGACTGATGTCAAGAACTGACCATGACATTGATACGGTGTCGCCGCATATTTTATTCAAAATAGTTACTCAGTGACGCAAAGAGTAATTACCACACAATAGACCCAAGCATGATATTTAGTAACTAACCACAGATCACAGAGGTACTCTGTAATCTGTGGTAACTAACTACCAAACGTTCGCGTCAATCGATAAAACGCACAGGCAAAGATATTTAATTTTTAATTCGAAAACGGAGTATCGATCGAATGTCGCGCGAACAAAAAACTTGCTCGCTCACATGAGTCACATAAGTTGAATAGAATTATACTGTTCAGAATTACTCTGTTCAATCAATTACTTTGTTCTGTGCATTTATTTGCAAATAACTGGACACATCCCCTTTTGGACGCCACTGATAAAACTAAAATTATTTTTTACTAGTTGATGGTAATAAGTACAAGTATTTACTCCTTTTGGCTATATTGGTAAATTTAATTTTTTTTAATAATTCGTTAATACGGATTTTCGTAACCAATCATTTTTCAGCTTTAAATTGGGTTAATTATCGTACTGAAATTATTGTTCAACGTAGAATTTACTGAAAAAGTGTGTGCACTTTATTATGACTCTCCTTGTATATGCTTATGGGTCGGTATACGATTTTCGGGAAGTTTGTTGCTTGACAACTGCTTGTCGTATTGCGGAATTAAATGGCCTTTTTTAATTATTAGGTATAAAATCATCATGGCTTTAGATAATACACATGCAATTGTGACTAATGAAGATTAATACGTTTAAAAATACCGGGCAGTGGTATGACGCGTATTAGCGCAAGTTTGATATGACGTCACCTATAGGAATGGATTCGTGGCAGCCACGCGTTATTTTTGACTGATTTATGTCATAAAATATCCCCCCTGCGGGTACGTTCAGTGATTTATGTCCGATTAGTATGGATAAGAGTGAGAAGCGTGACATTTGCCTTGTATAAATTTAATTACTCAAATATCACTAAAACAAAATTCGAGCAAATTAATATTCACTTAGGAACTCGCCTTTGAAAACTAGATTTCAACTGAGTGGTATTAACTTGGAAGTAACACATCCACTTCTTTGGAGGCATGATGAAAGATGAAAAAATGAGCATATGAAACATATGAGAACATTTCATGTTTCGCGCTCATGGCGCTGATTATACTACAATTCCATAAAAATTAATACGCAAGGCACTCAACTATGCCAAAGAGCTCTTTAGCGTAGATTAATCGCTCTTCTAATACTGGTCTTTATCTATGATTCGCTTGAGACGTAAAGTATCTGGCAACCCTGTTATAAGTTATCCATATTTCTTCCATCTTTGTTACTTCCTTTTAAAACAATTTGTGGAAGCAGAAGCCCTATAGATAACAAATTGATTCTTTCTAATTTAATTAAGTAAGTTTTTGAATAAATTTTATAAGAAACGTCTAGTTTTTACATGTAGAATATGTTAGAATGTCAGAATCTACTATGTTTAACAGTTGCAATTCATAACCCCCATTAATTTTTTCCAGTACCTAGAACTCTAATTCACCATGAAATACCTTGCATCCGAAAATGTGTGGCTCTCCAAAAATGTATATGAAGACGCGGAGACGGCTTACTATGAGAAATTATCCAAGGTAATTCACTAATCAAGCTACTTTTTGTTGTTATCGTAGTGTTGGCATTCGGTTATATCTCTAAAAATAAGCATGTGTTTTAACATATTTTATTTATTTTAAACCTGAGGAGAATAAGTCCAGCTTTTAATTCAAACCACCAAACATATTTCTCAGGTTGTATCGCTAATCTAAAGACACCACACTTCTGAACTTAAGGTTCTTCAGTAAGTAAGTCGGATTCTAGCATCTAGAATTTTAGAAGATATTTAAAAATTAGCTAATTTTTGCTTCAGTACCTGCTTGCTTTCGAGCATTTATATTCGAATAATTGATTCGCCCTTTATGGTCTTTGGTATATACAGGAGCGGATCCAGCTTTAAATTCAAGGTGGGGGG